CTTCACAGGCCTTACTGAAATACGTGATCCGCTCGAGAAGCGCCGATTTCTTCATTACACTCTATCTTAATAAATATTCCTCAATGTTTGATGGATTTGTTGAATATTCTTTCAATTTTTATCAAAAGTTGTAGTATATCTCAGCTACTCTATTTATTAGATAAAAGATGTGTTGAACATAGAATTAGGTTTGAATCTGCGAAACATTTTCACTGTATGCAATCATCTTTATTTTGATATGTGAAACTCATACAGGTTTATTTTTAGAATTCATTTCAAATGAGACGTTTTTGCAATCGCATCTGGAAATCATTTAAATGTCAAATTTCTCCTTTTTCGTTTTTAAAAAAATCAAATATTACTGAACAAATGCTTATGTGTAATATTAGAAACATTTTACTATTACATATACTTATTCTTTATTACTGAAAAGAGATTTTAAGACAGTTAGTAATGTATACATAATGATGTCCATTAATTATTTGGCTTATATATCATTGAATTTTCAAACATTACTGTCTTAGATTTGAAAACTTAATATTAACTCATGAACTCAACCTTTTCTGAGAACTTAGTACTTGTCTATCTGTGTTCATTTTACAGTTTGATAAGTTTCTTTGGGGGGTGGGATAATGATTCGATTCTTTGGAAAATTTGTGGGATGGTTCAGTCAATTTTACTTAAGGATAAGAAGAAACACTCATTTTCAATTTCTACTTTGGACAATATTTCAGCTACTTTGGATGAAATAATGTTGTAAAACTTGTGGCCATCACAGCTTATCGATTTATTTTATAAAGTTCAATACATCTATTCGAAGAAATCCCATCACAGTTAAATGATTTTGTTTATTATATATATATATATATATATATATATATATATATATATATATATATATATATATATATATATAATAGTTGATACGAAACGACAATACATCTATTCATAAGTTTTGACCTGAATTTTAACTGTGTTCACATGATTAGAAATGAATTTGAACTTTTAAGAGTTTCTTTGTGAAAGTATCTAGAAAAAGATTGTCATAACACAAGTCTGAATTTTTTTCTAAAAATCAATCACTATTTAAAAAAAGCATTATGTATTATTGAAATTTTCTTTCAGAAGGGAAATGAATAGAATTAGTCGTTTGATATATCAATAAGTTTATTTCTTGTCAAAAGAATTACAAACAAGATGTGTTGTTTTAAAATTCATCTGATTAAAAATGAGATATATACATATGTTAAAAACTTTTAATTACAGGAGCTAGCAACAGAGGCTAGGATATGATTTCTGTCCTATTTAGGACTCATTATTTGAATGCACTTGTATCTGAATGTTGGTGTATGCACTGAAACTAGAACCTATCACCGTTCAATTCATATGCCAACGTGTTATTTATTGAGCTACTGAGTTTAGAAACTCATTCATTTGTGGGTTTATTTGTGAAGGTTTTTAATATCCCATTGCTAATATTAAAGGACTGTAGTTGAACAATCTTTTTAAACACGTGTGCATTCTAAGGGATTTGGCTTGATATTGTCATTTAGTCACAAGTTCTTTAGTATTATAATTCAACTATTCCATCTACGAATTCTCTCCTGGTTTCTTCTTTTCAAGTTTATTATTACTATTATTACCATTAATATTGTAAGGTTAAACTGAAATTATAAATGTAATATGTTTACAGTTGTCAACTCTTGACACGAAACACTTATCATTTACACTCTGCTTTTTGATAGTCCCCTTAACGATGTTAGTTCGTAATAAAATCAAAATAAACAAGTGAAATTTATTGAGAAAAAGTTTTACACATTAACACATCTATCTCTTTATTTTTCAGTTTACTAATTTGAACAAATTAGAATTGAATGTAGTCCATACCACATTGTCATGTTCAAACTTCAATAAGTTACGAGAAATCATAACAAGCTATAAATAAATATGATAATGAAAATCATAGGAACATAATGGGAAACAAACAAAAATTTGTAATCTCAAATTGTATTATATTATTCTATAAATGATGAATCTAATTATTGAATCAATGGTGTTTCATGTGATATTCCTTTTTTTGTATCAAAACATTCACTTCACCGATACTAAAACTATTTATTCTCTTACAATAATTAAATCATTGATAATGATTTCATAAATGTACACTAAGTTTGTAATCTGATCAATTCGAGGTCTATTAATTTCTTATTATCACTCCAGTTAAGATCACTACACGTGAAGCTAGGATCACAGTGATTGAATATGTGTCATACAATATATATACACTTCAACTGTCTTGATCTAATACATGCTAAAAATGGAATGAAATCATTTACCACATCAATTTATAAGAAAATCCTTCAGATTGGGATATATATATTGCAATGGTATATTTAAAAAAAGAGTACGAGAACCACATAATATGTGTTCGATCCGAGAAACACTAGATATCTCTTAATGAAACTATAGATTATCGGTTATATATACGGAAAAAATCTTTATTTATGTTGAAGTTATTGAATTATAGTAGATTTATTCTCAGGTTTTGTTATCCATACAATGTTCTTGTTTGTGTTTTTATACGTTAGTGTGTGTATGTGTTCATATCTAACTCTTTGTTTGTGTTTCTTTGTCTTATAAAAATCGATAGCTACTATATTTTGTTGTTTAACCATCATCATATAATTATTATAACATTTAAAATAAAAGAAGTAAACTATTTCGTCGTCTGTTAGTTAGTACAAATATACATCTAACAACAAAGTTCGTTTTTAAAATCTAAGGCTACAAAAATAAACATTTTAAATGTTTGTTTTTTTTCATACAGAAAACTTCGAATATGGATTATTTTACTTAGGAATCTTATATTTAGTTGCATTTAATTATCATTACTGAAGACTACTATGTTTTGTGATTATAGTAATAAAATTAGTAAGAATGTATTAGCCAGTGTTGTGACCTTGCCAAAGCGTTCTGTCCTAGAGAACGTATATAAACTAAGTGATCAACATCTACAATGTATAAAGCTCTCAGATCGACAGTTTTTCTATCAACTACCATCATTTATCAGTGCATACACTAAAATAGACCTTAATATTGGGTTGTTTGACTTAATGACCATAATTGAAACTTGATGAATAGAATCTGCTCAATACTAATGATAAAATCGAGTCTTGTCTATTAGCCTCTAATTAAATTTTTTTTTAAAAACTATACTATTGATCAACTTGGTTTGTTTTAATAAATATGTAATACAGTTAATTTATTATAGAATATGTAAACTTGATTATATACCATACATTATGTAAATCTGTTTCATTTAAATGTTTTTCTTTTCAATATAATTCTAAAAAAGGTAATATTTAATTGTTTATTAAGTCTAATATTCATTTAATAAATGACAATCATTTACCATTTGTGTTCATACAAACTGAGTGAGACTGTAATTTATGGACGGTCTTTGAGCGACACTAAAGTGATCTTGAAAATGTCCACCTACTTACTAGTGTTAAATGAGGGTTATAAACCAGTGTGAAGAACTAGGATTATGATTTATAGTTGATGTTTAGTGTTAGAAATTAGATTTAGGGTTTTCATTACGAACTGACATAAGGTATAATGCCAAAACGCTATTTAAACAAATGGATGAGTGAATTTCGCGTCAAAATTCAAAACCTGTTACTCTAAATCTGATTGACTCGTCCATAAATTATAGTTTCGCCGAAGTTGTTTATTTCAGTTGATTAACAAACAATGTGTTTTATAACTAGTTATGTAGGCATTTCTACATTTTTTCCTCCTTTAATTTATGCATCTCAATAGAGGCCATTTTTTCCCATATTCATATTCAAAATAATGGACACTGAACTCATTGACGAATTTACACTTTTTAACGTACTATTCAGTAAATATTGATGAGATTATATTGATTTATATACGAGTCGATCGATCAATTGATCGATTCAGTCATTATTATTATTTTACATTTGACGAGATTTTCAAAGACATGAAAATAGCCATTTTAATTTGCACTAATAATATAAAATTTTAAAATATGTTTTATCATAGGGATAATTTATTCATTTTATTCTGTACTTCTTCTTCTTCTTCCCGTTTATACTTAATTCGATATTGTGCGAAAAAGAAAACCAGTAAGATATCATCTCTGTTCCTTTTTATTCTCTAAATATTCATAACAAATGTTGGATATATTGAATCACAAGGTCATTCGATGGTTGTATAAATGGACTAAGTAGAATACCGAAGAAAACTAATTTCATATTTATCTTTTGTAAACATTCCTTTCAATATTATTTATTATTATTATAATGCAGAATATTGATTGTTCAGATTGTTTCTATAAAAGAAAGTCACATGATAATTAGCTTTCTTATTAAGTGAATGAATGTATATGAGGAATAATTATAGGGAAAGGTTTTTATAAAAGCCATTGTTAGTTAGATAGGTGGGTAGGTGTATCACTACTTCATTGTATCGTAAATGAGTTTATGTGACGCTCTATTTGTTTATTTAATAATAATTAGATTCTGTGATCGATAGATTTTGATTAGATTTTTATGATTGGAACATTACAACCATTTCTCCCAGAAAACATTAATCTAACATTAATTAGTAAACGTATTAAATGTCTTAATAGGTAGCTATCATTTGACGATACTTGGACTAATTCATTTACATTCAACTACCAAAAGATGATGATGAATTATAGATGTCTGAAATTGTAAATATGATTTATATTGGTATTGGGGAAAAACAATCAGTATGATACTCTTCAGTAGATGGAATCTAGGATCAGGATCTTCGGATCCCAAAGTAAGCGCTTGACATTTAGATCACTAAGTTAACATCGTATGGTCTACTTTCCTAAACTGTAAAAATATGATTAAATTACTCTTTATGAAAATCCAAATTAAATCGTTTAATCAAATCTTCGATATATCCAATTAATAATTATGTGTTTTTCGAAAATCCTCTTTTCAGATTGCACACATATGCGAATGTATACTCTCTTGATTTAATCATATTCATTCGTATGAAGTCAACTCTTCTTTATAATAAAATCAAGATGTTTTTATTTAGAACAAGTGAAACTTTAAATCAATCTACGTCCATTCTAAATATATGGCGCCATTTTTCAATAAAGTTAACGCATGAAGCAATGAAAGCATTCGAATTACTAGGTATATCAACATCCAGTACACCTGAGGAATGTAGGAGAGCTTATTTAAATTTAGCTCGTCGTATTCATCCAGATGTAAAGAGCGAACTAATGGATACTAGTAATGACAACAATAGTAATAATAATATCAATAATGATTTTCAAAAGAGGACAAATGTTGAATTTCATCAATTACATAAAGCTTATACACTTGCTTATGAAATCTGTCTTGACAATCATGAGTCTGGTAATGATTACATACTTGAACAATTGGATAATGATATTCAAGAGTTTCCTCATAAAGCGCCTCAAGTAAGTCTCATTAGTGTAATGCATATGTCTAAACCTTGTTATTGATCATTATTGGATAACTAAAAGTTTTTTTTATACTGAAGAGTATTTTCATCATGGTTATTTTTGTTAATTGGTTTGGGGTAATGGGCAGGATATTTTAGGATTAGGTTTCACGTTAGTAGGCATTTTTCATCAGGAAGCAACTAAATGCTTGAGGGGACTGGTGCTTTCTCCTTCCGAGATTCGGACTCGTTTCACCCAGCTTCACAGTCTAACATGCTACTACTGGTTTCCATCTCCATAAAACTTTGTTATTGTCTACATAAATATGTTTTTTATTAGTTTTGTCTTAGTTTCGATCTGTATCTCGAACCATTTTTCAGTATTTCTATGACTTGTGGAGAAGGTTTCAATAGTACTGATGTATAAAACGAAGGAAAACAATTATTTCTGTTTACGAAGGACAGAGTTGAGCTTCCCGATTCGACATGAACCATTAATAACTACTTAGTTCTCATATGTAAGCATTCTGTTCTCCTGTAAACGTAGGTATATTCACCAAAGCTAACTTTTTTAATGCATTTGGAAAGTACACACATGAGAGAGATTCTTTAAGTTTTACTACTGAAATAAATAAATATGTTCCCCTTGTACTACGTTTCACACTTCATGTAACTCATTTAATAAGTATATATCTATATACTTGATTTTAACCTACAATCTTCATGATAGAGTAACGTTAGTAGTCGGTTATCAAAATAGGTGAAGAGGAGCGTTTGAATCCGTGAATTAGTCTGACTATTATCAGTATAGCAATATTACATCAGCAGATCAAATTCACTAAACAAAAGTGTTAGCTAAAAAACACCGTAGAATCACCTTGGAACCCAACTATAATGCAGATATGTTATTATACACTGCAGTCTGTTTTACGTATTTATTTCCCTAGCTATTATCATACTTAGCAGAGTGCTTGTTACAAGACTTGAAAACCGTTCCAATCTTATTTTAGATCGTGATTCAGTCAGTCATAATCAATATAGAGCCTAGGGTAAATTTGTGTTAGTCCAAGTTCCCATTCTATATCAATATAACGAGATGAGTTCAACAAGACGAATGCCGAACGAGTCGAATTACTTGTAGTGGTACTAGTGATGAAAAAGAGTAAATGTTGAGAATGTGATTAAAAAAACAGAATAAAAAGGCATTTATAAAAGTAGTCTACAATTCATAATCTAGAGGAACGTGAAAAGTGAATGAGTCTGTGATACTGTGACTGATTTTGAGCCATATCATACACAAAATCTACAACCAAGTTCGTTGTTATCTATTGAACTCTAAAACTCAAAGCTAAAACGACCTTATTATTGGATTATTTCTTATTTTCGAATAGTTTTTTAATTTGATATCATTTCAGTAATGAGTAATAGCTTAATTAATTGGAATACAATAGACATATGATATGTTTTTCCAATCAGATGTGACATGTATTCATCACATCTTAAGAAGGATTATAGATACTTAATTGTATAATGTTGTAAATATGTTCACACAGTAAGTTCTTGAAGGATTATTGTTAAAAATAAAGCTCAATTCAATATATACAAATCTGTTTGTTAATCTAATTGCAAGTAAATCATATAAAATGTCATGTATTGTTAAATCATTTAGATTTATTTCGAAAACCAAATGAAATTTTATCACTAGTCTTCACATTTTTCTCTCGTATTCAAGTTACCGTGTAGATTTAGAAGCGTTCAGCTAGAAGATTTATCATATATAAATCATTCCTCTAAAATAATTTTCAAATAGCCTTGATTCATATCGATTATCATGAGTAGTAAGGTCATATGAGGGGAGAAATATGGTTTATTACAGTAATTTAATAGTAGTTTGTTCTTTTGCTCAACCTTCACCTTCTTGTCTTTTTTAATTTTATTTTCTCCTACCTGTTCTCTAACTAATTTAATTTCCTTATTTTAGAATGTGCCTTTGTTCCTGTAATTGTACTTTTAGATAAACTACAGGAACTCATTTCACATATCAAACTATATTGTTATTGTTATTATTATTATTAAAGTAAATATTACTTTACAGTGATTGAGACTGAATAGCTTTGTATGCAAGTAATTTCTGTTTTGAATAAAGGGATATTTTTCAAGTTGAAATTGAATCTACATTATCGTAAGATTCAAAACGTCTCGGACTTTGAGTTGATAAATATCCTACTAGGCTTTCATGTTTATAAGAGGTACGCGTACTTTCGTACTTGCTACATGAGCTGGTGTTGTAGTATGTCGGAAAGAATTTAAGGTGGGTCAAACCAAGTCTTAGGATGCGTCTGTGAAGACACTGACTGTTGAACTGAGCCATGTATATAGGTGAAGGCTACCTGATTGGAGTCCTCACGATTATCGTAATCGATGATTGGAGACTTTTGGTAATGTGGGTCAAATTCTTTTACAATGATCTAGGTGAATTCATTATTTTCCGTCCCTTAGATCCTAAGTTTCCAAATTATCCAATAAACGTTTTCTACCCCACTAATCAATATTTTCTCCTGAAAAGTTTTCTTTAGACTAATCTTTTTTATGACTACTAATAACGTCAATACCTCTACTAATCTGGGATTCGCCCTGACAACTTCATCTCTCTGTACTAATGTCGTGTGAAAAGTTGAACCAACGTACATACGTAACAGCTTCTACATTGTGTGCAAGAGACTATGCCTAACGATGTCCCCTGGAATCAACCTACAGTTAGATATGAATTATATGAACCATTTGACTGATTGAATATTTAGTCTATTATGCTATTTTTGTAATTCGAAGATTACCGAAACTGGTAAAACTACGCTATCCCACTAACTATAACCGGTGTTAAAATTGGTCTTGAAATGTTGAAGACATTTATTTATTAGCTAGTGCACAGATAACAGACCAAATCCAGAATATGTAGTTCAAAACGCAGCAAAATTTCAATATCAACAATGGTTTTATATAGTTTTTACATTTCATATTGTTCACGATCGGCTTTTTATCGTGCCCAACGACTGTCACAGTAGAACTTCAACGTTAATAATCCACATACTAATATGAAACAGAGACGATGTGACATTCGGGATAGGTTTATATTCCGAACAGAACTGAAAAACTGAAATGCAGTTACTTTGTTTGCATCCAACGACCTTGAAACATAACAAAGTTAGCGAACGAAACATGACAACAGACAATCAGATAACAGCGAAGATCATTGCACGAATATGAGTCAGTCAGTCAGTCAGTCAGTCAGTCAGTCAGTCAGTCAGTCAGTCAGTCAGTCAGTCAGTCAGTCAGTCAGTCATCTACAACGTAGGACCAGGCACATTCATGCATCGGTCCAAGTTGCCATACCTCATTAACACAACACGATGGACACCGGATTCATAAAAGTAGTTAATTCAGAGGTGGTAATATATAAAAGAAAGATTGCAGTAAGGATATAGTACAGGAAGAAAGAATTAGTACGTGGAAAGAAGGATATGAAGCGATTTTAATCTCACGGTTTAAAGGAAGACGGAGAGTGTATACACCGACGCCATTGTGATCGGTTCTGAGCCATGTCAACAAGAGTCTCCAACCATTGGTTACGACAGTCACGCGAACCCCAACCAAGTAGTCTGCATCTACCAACATGGCTCAGACTAGAAGTTAGTGACTTCAAGCACTGATACCACGTTTTAGTGTGGCAACCCCTAGATTTCTTCCAACCATCCCGAACGCCGGTTAGCATTGGACGTCGTGGTAATCGGTGTTCGGGCATACGTAACACGTGGCCCAACCATCTCAGTAGATGAAGATTCACAACCTCATCGACTGATTTACCATCCTTCCCTAATACCCTGCGTCTAACCTCGCTATTACTTACCCGGTGATCCCAGCAGATGCGAGCAATATTTCTGAGACATCTGTGGTCAAATATTAGTAGCTTACGGGTGTCTTCTACTCTTAAGGGCCATGTTTCGCTGCCGTAAATTAGAACAGAACAAACTGCCGCGAAGTATACTCGTCCCTCAATTGATAGACGGATATCTCGCCTTCGCCAAAGGTGACGTAAGTTGACAAAAGCTAAGCGAGCTTTTCGAATCCGTGCTGAGATTTCGTCAGACACCAACCCATTAGGGCTGATCAGACTTCCAAGATAAGTGAAGTTGTCAGCGCGTTCGACTACTTCACTCCCTATCCTTAGTTCAGGTGTTGACGCAGACCAGTCCTGAAGCAACAACTTGCATTTCGAGGGAGAGAAGCGCATTCCAAACATTCTGGGATTGTTGCTCAGTGCTATCAAAAGACTCTGCATTTTATCAGCGTCTTCACCAAACAGGACTATGTCATTTGCGTATTCTAAGTCAATAAGTGGACCTCCTGGAAGGAGATCGATTCCCAAAAATTCAAATGACGAAAGCGTTATTACCAGCAGTAGGTCAATGATGACATTGAACAGCCTTGATGAACACCATTTGAGGTTGCTAAATCAGATGACAGTTCGCCATAAGCTCTGACTCGATTAGTAGTGTTTGAGTAAGGAGCCTTCACTAGGTTTATGTACTTCTGGTGTACGCCTTTCAATGACAGACACTGTCACAGAATCTCGCGGTCTACGGAATCAAATGCTGCTTTCAAGTCAAGAAAGACCACCATTGTCGGACGCCGATAAGTATGCCTATGTTCTAGAACCTGACGAATGGTGAATATGTGGTCGATGCAGCCACGACCAGGTCTGAAGCCAGCTTGATTCTCTCGTGTTTGCAGTTCACGAGTCTTAGTTAAGCGTCTGATAATTATCGAGGCTAGTATTTTAGATACTATATTAGTTAAACTAACCCCTCTATGGTTGTCACAGGATGATTTTAACCCTCTCTTATATATTGTGACGATAAGTGATTGTGACCAGTCAGATGGGATAACGTCTAACTCCCAGATCTTATTTAAAATATTAGTCAACCTAATCGCTAAAATTGAACCACCATCCTTAACGAC